AGAGGAGTTCCAGCATGTCTCTGCACCATGGAAAGAGGAAAGCAATTCAGCCAGGGCACAGGTGAGCACCCAGCCTGCTTCCTCCCATGGGACAGGGACAGGTGCGGCCAGTGTCCCTGGGAACAGCACCTTGCCCTGGAGAGCACACATTGCTGCCTTCCAGGGTCAGAGTCTTGGGGGGGGGCAAACTGAAATAGGCAAAACTAGTACCAGGCCGTGAAGGGGCATCTCCCCTGGCACATGAGCCCCTCTGGCACTTCAGGGGGGCTCCTTGCTAACAGGCAGTGTCTGGTGTTCCCGGGCAGGGATCCTGTATGACACCTATCCACTGTCAGAGGACACCTGGCACACACATCAGTTCAGCTTCATCAAGGTAATGTGCTGGCAAGCAGCTCTGTGGGAGGAGTGGGAGCTGGAGGGGGTGAGGTGGGGCTAGGTACTGAGCCTCCCCTGGATCCGTGTGGCAGGACCATGCCTTCCGCCTGCTGCGTCCCGGCGGGATCCTCACCTACTGCAACCTGACGTCCTGGGGAGAGCTGCTCAAGACCAGGTACAGCGACATTGAGAAGATGTTTGAGGTGAGTGTTGTCCCCAGGCCCCTCCAGCCCAACCTGGGGTGCCCCAAAGCCACCCCACCAGCCTGGGCACCTTCCAGGGTGCTTCCCAGTGTGGAGCAGGGGGAGCCAGATCACTCCATGGCTAACTCATCCATGGATGTGTGGCTCAGCAGCAGATGCTGGACGGGAGGTTTTGCCCAGGACAGCCCAAGGTGGGGTCCCTGCCTCTGGCTGTGCTGTGTCACTGCAGTGTCCCCACTCGCCTCCTGACACCTCAACCATGGCTTCTTCTCCCTCCTCTCCCGCAGGAGACCCAGGTGGAGCACCTAGTCCAGGCTGGGTTCAAGCGGGAGAATATCAGCACAAGGGTGATGGAGCTGGTGCCCCCCCCGGAGTGCAGGTACTACTCCTGCCCCAAGATGATCACACCTGCCATCCTGAAACACTGAGAGGCCTCGGGGGCTGCCAAGGGGGACATATCCTGGGGAGCAGAGAAGGAGAACAGCTCTTAACTCCTTTGATGACGACATCGAAACCAATTTATCCAGAGGCAGCTGGAGGCTTGGGATAGAAGTCCTGGATTCCAAGGGACAAAAGGACCGGAAACTCACTGCCCTCCAACGTCCCATCCTATGTCTGTCCCCTTGGGATTTTCACTCAAGACTCACCTTGAAATTCCTCAGTCCAGCTGGAATTCCAGAGTGCTGCTCAAAGGGGTTCCAGAACTAGCTGTTTCCTCTGAAAACTGGATCACTGGGAGAAATCCCAGGGCGGCTTCCCACACAGCAGCCAAATAATCCAACCCAGGGGCAGAAACAGGGAGGACAGAGCAGTTTGAGGCATTTCAACGCATTTCAGCTGCTCCTGGAGCAACTCCCCAGGGAAGTTTCCCAACAGTTTTGGCTGGAGTCCACAGCAGTGAGTCCTGACCCTGATAACCCCTCACAGCCCAACAGATGTCTTTCCCTCTACCCCCAGAAGGGACAAAGTCCATTAAAAGGAATGAAATACCCAAACTGCTGTTTCAGAGTGATTTATTTGTCTTTCCAAAGTATGTTTGTCAGTCGACCACTACCATTCTTTGTCCCAGGCTCCAGGATGCATCCAGGACAGGCTGCTTTATCCCCACCCTGTTAAGGAGCTCTGCAGTCAGGTTTATAAGTCATATTCTGACTTCAAGCATCAATATTTTACTTACAGCAAAAATAACCTTCTGCCCCCTGTGCACACAGATATTAGGGATTTGTGAGATCCTGTGTATGAATTATCAACGAGGAGCAGGTGGTGAAGGAGGGATGAGCTCAGGGAGGCCTCAGGGCTCACCTGAATGTGTCTCAAAACTTTCGAACAAAGCTAAAAAGCACATCCCAGGTTCTGGCAAGGTTTATGTTCATTCTCCTTCCCTCACAAGTGGTTTGGACCAGAAACCAACAGGCTGAATGTTCCCAAATTCAGGTCCTGCTTTTTTAGTCCAGTTTTTAGTTCAGTTCTTGAGACCATAAAGATTACCAAAGACAGAAGCACCTTGACCAGGTGGAGTTTTATTGGAGGGGCTGAGGCCCCATTTGTGCGTGGATGTAAGCAGTGCCAGGGATGGGGACAAGGATAAAGGCTATTTCCTGTACCAGATCTGAATCTTCTTCTCCCGCTTGATCTTCCTCTGGAGCTGCAGGATCCCATAAAGCAGGGCCTCAGCTGTGGGTGGGCAGCCTGGGAGGGACAGAGAGAGGATGGATGGCTGCACGGAGCAGAAGAGGTGACAAGCCAAAGGATTCATCCCAAAGCTGTGACTTCCCTCGGGCTTTGTGGTTGGCACAGGCAAGAGTTTAAAGAAGCTAAACTGATGGTGTTTTGCAATAAGGTCGGTATCAAACACAGCAATGCTTTGTTTTAAGCAAAGTGTATCTAAACTACAGCTCACACTTCCCACACCAGTTTCAGGTACCATCACTTGTCAACCCACTCACAGGTGCCACCACCTGCACAACCCTCACTGCTGCCCCAGCAAAGCCCCTGAAGCTGCTGCAGCTTCACCTCCACAGTTTGAAACAGGAAAATCCGTAACACCACCCAGCTGTGTGGGAATGCACAGAATTCCGCTCATTCCCTCCCTGCTCCCAGGCCTACCGGGGACATAGATGTCCACAGGCACGATGCGGTCGCAGCCTCGCACCACAGAGTAGGAGTAGTGGTAGTAGCCTCCGCCGTTAGCACAGCTGCAAGAGAGAAGCAGCGTCAGCCCCTGGTCCAGCCCAGGATGGGGAGCAGGAGGCCAGGGGGAAGGTGACGCCAGCAGGTGAGCACTGCCAGCACAGACCCACCAGCAGAGCCCACACTGAGGGACAGTGCAGGTGACACCACGGGGGTTCAGTCCCTCCATGAGCCTTTTGTGCTTTTAGCTGAATCCAACCAAACTGAGTCATTCCCATCACTCCTACCAAGCAGAGACTCAGTTCTTCCTCTTTGCTGCAACACCTCTATATTTTGCCATTGAGCATTCCCAGAACTTGCCCTGTCCCAGGTCCCAGGTCTCAGGTCCCAGCCTGGACCAACCATCCTCGGCCTCAGGGGATGAGCAAGTTGGCAGAGTAATAGAATCATTCAGGTTAGAAAAGACCTCCAAGATGATGGAGTCCAACCGAGTTCCTCCAAGGAACACATTCCAACTGAGCTCCCCCATTAAGCATATTCCAACCAAGTCCCCACACAGCACAGATTC